AATAAATATTTTAATAATATAATTAATAATTTATATATGAAATAAATGTTATTCTTTATAATTTGAAGTTTTATATTTAAATTTTTCGATTGATCATTGACATACAGTGAATTATATATGTTAAATTATTTAATGAGTTTAAACAGCTTGTTATGGTGTTTATGTATAAGTTTATAAATTGTGAATCTATACACTGCATTCTGCATATACTGAATCAGTATTTTAAACTGCTATAACACTATTGCTTACATTATATACAGAAAATATATATAATATATACATGTACATTTTAAGTATATAATGTATGCTGCACATTATACATAATACAGTATATTTAATGTATTGTATGCAAAACATACTATATATTGTGCAGTATATACAAATTATATACCATATCCTTATTATACTGTATATTTATTTTCCTCGATCCGAATGTTAAAAATACTTTTATTGTCTCAAAAACAGTTTCTCATTGTATATTTATAGAATTTACGTTTTTAAGATGAATTATATTAAATTTTTCATATTTTGCAACAATATTACTTCTATTAAAACATCATTTGTTAAAACACTAAATAATTTAATTTTATAAAAGTTCTAAGAATACTAAGAAATACTCATCAATAAAACTATTATTAATTTAAAATATTTTGCTTATAATAATAATAATTAATATATGCCATGTTTACTTCTAATTTTTAATTATAATAAAATATGAATTTATTGAATGCTTTATACAAAAATAAAATAAAATAAAAATATGAAGATTGTTTTCGAAAGCAATACCATGAAAGAATAGGGTTTTTGGTACTCTTTCTGCTCTGTGGCACTAAGAAAACCATTTTCCATTCCATGAGTTCGGCCAAACATACTGTACAATGGGGACAGCCCATGATGGGCCAGGATTTCAGCACACGAAACGGAGACTTTCCCACTTTTTTCTTTGAGATCCTACAACTATATATTAGGGAAACGAGCAATTATTTATTGTGACATGGTCACAATGCATTACTGCAATTTTTAATCATATTTTTAATTTATTTAATTTAAAATATAAGCTCTCCACCTCAAATTAGTAGTGGCTGCCCCTATACATCATACTTTTCCATCTATCTAATATCTTCCGGGAAAAATTTTTGAAATGAAATAACATAACTTCCAGTTCGCATCGGAAGTTATGTTAATCGGGACATCTTGCCCTTAAGGTTCCATATTTGTTCTCCTCTTTGATCTATCTAACTTCGTTATCGCGATTAAGGAAAGACAGACAGACAAACAGACGACAGTGGGAATTTATAGGTCGCTTTCTCTGTTAGAATGAATTTTCTATAATAATCTAAATTCCACTTTTTCATAAATAACTTTTTAAAATAATTTAATGCCTCGAATTACTAGCCACACTTCAAACACCACTTAATATTTTAATTGTGTTAAAAAAAATGTATAAAATTATATAGCAATGTAAATTAATTGAAGAAAATTGCATTTTTTTCATCATTAAGCTTTCCTAATCTCTTGACATTACCAGAGAAGTCGCGATCTACCGGCTGAGAAATTCTCAGATAATTTATTGCTGCTTAACCATTTCATGCAACTAACACCATCTATTAACGCACCCGAGAACTAAGCATTTAAAATTTAGTTTAAACAGGAATTAAATATACTAAAAAATAAATATATATTTTTTCCCTTAGTTTAAAAATGTATTTATTAATTAAAAAAATAAGTTTAAAAATATATTAAAACATAGCTTAAAAATGATAAGGAGCCGTCTACCTCTCATTGCCTCAACTATACCCAACAGGAAGGGAGGGAGATGGATTAAAAGTGGCTCAAAAACTGTAATTAATTAATGAACATTCCTTAATTCAAGATTGAGGCCTCGCATTTTTTATTAAAAAAATCTAATTTCTTTAAAATAAGTTCAAATGTTTAATAGAAGTAATTAGAAATTATTTTTTCGAGTTATTAAAATGTCAAATTTGAAGTTTAAAACTTCCTACTTAGAAACTTTTAGTCTTTATTTTTAAAGTTTGTTTTTTTTTTTCTTTTAAAGATATAGATGTGGAACCATTAACGCGAGAAACATCAAGCGTCACTTTATTAAATGCGATAACAATGAATATGATAGAATGGTTCTAAAAATATACAATTTTTTCCTTCTTGGCTGGTTAGAGGAAAAACTTTACAATTAAAGTCTCTGATGGACGTAAAAGCGCGTATAGAAATTGGTTGTTTGACATGATTCTGTTTTCATTACTCCACCTAAGATTATTTCAAAAGTTATTGGTAAAAGTTAACATTATGTTGGGTCAGTCCTGTATGATTAATGCGATCCGGATTTTCATTGTTGACTTATCACGTGGCGTGGAATATTTCGCAATTGGGAATTCTAGAAATAATACCATGATGTGGCAAAAAAACATTTAAAGCCTCACACCTTAACTTTCTTCGAGTTTACTTCATTTTTCTACTGATAATAATAGATTTAACCGTTTAATTTTAAAACTAGTTTGAACTTTAGGTTAGTTACGTCACTATCATTCAGGTATTCCTATATATATTTTTTCTTTTTTTTTAAAACTTATAATATAAGTCGTTACTTATTATTTTATTTATCTTTAATAAGAATAATTTAAAATAAAAACAGAAACGAAAAGCGCTTATTTTTGTAAAATTTTAATTTATAAAATCGAAATAATTTACAAGCCTACTTACGTAATAACACTATAGGTGTCTCTTATAAATTTTCGATTTAAGAAAATAAATATATACGAAAACGATTAAAATAATCCGTATTCGTAAGGAGAATTTATTTTTAATTTATTATTTTTTCCCGAAAACTTGTTAATTATTTCAGCGGCACTTTAATCACTAACAAACATTTTTGAGCTTTCGTGCCAGACCGCTAGGTGCTGCTAGTGGTTATTGATTCCTCACCTGTCAATGAAAGGAATTTTGAATGATTTTAATTCTGAGTGAAAAAACATGTATATAAGAAAGAAATTTTAAAAGGTAGCGACTAGTAAACGTTTTAAATAAAAAAATAAACTGTCGTTTCACTTATTGTAACTGTAAAATGACGTGATTTATATTTCAGATAGACGAAAATGGTGGAAGGAATGGGGAAAGCCATCAAATATGCATTGTTCGCGGCAAATTTCGTCATTTTGGTAAGTTTCTATTAAAATACGTTACTTTGCGTAATGTCCTATTTAAATTTATCCATTAATTAATAAAGTTATAATGAGAGAGTAATTTTACATCAAATTTTAATTAAGTACCAATTTATTAATGACAATTGCATTATTTAAAAGATATATAAACTTAGTAGAGGTTACTTTTAGGTTATTTGTATGTATACGTATATAAACAAATTATCTAAAAGTAACTTCTGCTGTAAACGGTATAAAATTTTACCCTCAATTTTACTATTTTTCCTCTTAGTTTTATAATGTAATGAATATTGAGAAAATAAAACTAAAATTTGAACAAAGTCTGATCCATAAATTAGTTGAAAATTAAACTGTTTGATCAGATTTTATTTATTTAATTATTTTTTCTTAGTTATGATGAATTATAAATTGGGCATGCATTAATAATGAGAAAGCATAAATTTAACTTTGAAGATTTTCCNCAACTAAAATAGGTTCTTGCATGCATCTTTGAGAAATTTATTTAATTTGTATAAGAATTAAATATTTAATTCAGAGAAATTACATTATAAATTAGTTTAATTGCTTTTATGAGTTAGCTTTATAAAAATAATAATAATAATGAAAATTATAAGCAAATTACATAAGAGTGTAATTAACTTGTAGTTTATATTTTGTTTTATTTTATCTATAATTACTTCTTTTTCAGTATAACTAACATGTAGCGTAACCAGAGAGGTGCCTGGTTCCCCTATCCTTGTAAGTAAATAAACGAAGAAAAAATCAAATAAGTAAAGAAAAAAGATTTGAATGTGGGAAAAAGCACTTATATACACGTTTATACAGTATCAAAGAGTTTACTCTTCCTCACAGCGCTATTGGTAAAGGAGTGAATATAGGTTTCGCACGTTCTAATTAGAGCCATTCTAATATCGGTTCTAGTTGTGTAACCTTAATTAACTACATATAAATGTATTACTCTAATGAAAACTTAATGTTCTTTATGTGACTCTCAATCCAATTTTTCTTCATGGAATTTGAAAATTACTTATTGATATAAATTAATGCTATGATAATTAATTTTTATTATGGAATTTTAACTAATTTTTAAGAAAAGGTGGCATTTTTTAACGATTATTTAGCGATTTAATATATGTAAAACTACTTCAATCTGAATAAATTTTCTATTAAATTTATTATGAATTAATTAATTAAGAAATAACTAAATTGAGAAAACATTTCTAATCGACTTTCACTAAAGTTAATTATTTTATTCAAAATCTTTTGTTTTTTATTGAAATACAATTTAACATATCAATAATAATAAAAAAACTATTAAATATTTCTTTTTTGAGGCTAAATTATACAAAAATAAATATAATAATGCAAAATTTTATGGTGATAATCTCCCTATAGGATAACTACAATAGAACCGATATTAGGGAGGCATGACTTAGAACATGAAAAACCTATATCCACCCTTGTACCACTAGAACTATATATAGGCCTATATATATATATTTTCATGTTTAAATCTTTTTCCTGTACTTATTTGATGTTTTCCTCATTTATTTACTTACAAAAGTAAGGTGATCCGGGACAATTGGCCCCTTTCTGGCTACACTACTGTATCCTCTACTTATTAAATCATTTTTCTTTACTATAATCTATATCAATTATCTGCATTCAAAGTATTTTACAATCGATTTTGAATTGAATCATATGATGATAGAATAAAATAATTTACGAATGGTGTGAAGGTATAATTAATCTTCAATATTTAATTTGAGCAATATGTAAAATACAATAATTTAACGTACAGGCTATATAATTTCATAATTTGAAATTCTATCGTAGAACTTATTTTTCAGTAACTGAAATTATTTATTCAAATTACAGGAAGCGTATCAAATAGTTATGTATTATAGTAATATAAAAAAGAACCGGAAAGGGAAATTATTAATATATTAACTGGCGCTACGAATGCTTAATTTATGAAAGAAATACACCGGGTTGCATTTGACGTGATAAAATAACATTTCTGATCATTTCCGTTTCCGGTTTAGGATCATTCTGAGAAGCAATAACTTAGGAAACAGTTAACCTGTCGTCCGACGTATCTAAGCGACAGGTTAACTGCTTCTTCACTTCCTCTGACTATCCTGTTTCCTGGGTCATCGAGAGGGAGCGGCAAGCTGGGGATTTTTTCCAGTCTGGAGGGTTCCTTAGAGGTTCCTATTCCTATAAATGACTGTTATTTTTACTAACAAAAAATAACATCTATAAGATTCTTTTTATTACTAAAGAAACATTCTAAGTATTTCATTTATTCAAAAAAAGAAAAAAAAAAAATATGTCAAAAGGAGCCCTCTAAGAGATAGAGGCGGTCCACTCTATCCCCGCCCCATACAAGCTCTCGGCAGTCCCTCCGGCTTCCATGAATAAAAACTCGATCTGCATTGGAAACCTCAGAAATTTTCTTGAGTAATTTCAACAGGATGCTTTATGTGATTCCGTCCCTTACTATCCGATTGCCTTAATTTTAGATCTGGTCAAATCCACGATGGATACGAAAAATAATAATAATAAGATTCTATTAGTGCCTAGTGACTGTAGGGCGCGGGGGAGAAACAGAGAGAGAGAGAGAGAGAGAAACACAAATAATAACTTACCTGCCATTAAACAAAAAATAAAATAAAATAGAATAAGCCTACTTTTAAATATATATTTTATTTTTCGTTTAATTTCTTCTATACTTTTATCTAAATTAAATTATTATATATTCACTAAGCAAACAAAATATAGAAACCTTATCTCGATACTACTGAAAGCGTGTTCCAGATGTTTAATTTCTGTAGCAATTTAGGTAATGTTTTTTCCCTATATCAATTATCCTTAATACTAAATATTAAGGCCTCCTGCTACTATTCGAGATTAAATCCAGGCGGTCAAAAACCTAAGAATTTTTCGGGCCTCGTCCCTCACCACCCGGTAGCCCCCATTGTGCGCTTGTCCAAATCCTTCATAAGCATGATTAAAAGTCCCTACTAGTGGCCACTTTGTCTATAATACATCAAAGATTCCATAAATCCTATTGAATTTAAAATATATTCCATAAATTAAATTCTAAGTTCGTAGAATCAATTCTTACGAATGATTGATAATTCATATAAAATGATATATATTTTACTAATGAAATTATAGCTATTCATAACTAGATACATTTATCATTTTACAATAAATTAATTTCAATTTTTTCATTCTATAATGCAAAAGAAATCCTTCAAAATGGAGCCACGCTTTATCATACCAAAGTAGAACGCAGTGTAGAAGATAATTCTCGTATAATGTGCAACACCCCCACCTCTCTCGTGACGATAGGAAGCGTTCTTTATTGATTGGTTGTTGCAAAACATTAAAGTGTAAAAATTCAGCTCGTGGACCACACATTAGTCGTCTTGGTAACGACTCTGATCAACACAACTTGTTTTCAAAGCTCGCTGCGTGTTTTATACGAAATTGTTTAAGAGTTTTCATTTTATAACAGGTTAGTTATTTACTTAAAATACTTTTACTTAAAAAACTGTAAAATTTAATTAGATTTTTTTTGTTATTTCTTTAATATTAAATTTAACTGTATTGAAATTTTTTTTAATTTATAGAAAAACTATTTAACAGTTAATAAAAAGACTTTATTACGATGCATTTTAATACATTAGACGAGCTTTTTAGGGAGAATTTTATATTTTCTATAAGAAAACATTTATTAATATCGATTTTATAAACTATTTAATAAAAGTTTTGATATTTTTGACGTCGAAACGTATATACGTAGAAATTTTACAATTTTTAAACTAACTTTACAGCTTATTTTTTAATTTCTACACGAATCTAAGTCTTACTTGAAGAAAAATTTCCATTCAGTTAATAGAGTTTTATCATTATAGTGTCTATTAACATTAATTAAATTAATAAAAAAACATTTAAATATTATTTATACGAAGCGAATAAATTTATTATTAATTTTATTAATTTAATATTGTCTAATTAATCTAAATATATACATATTACTTTCATTAGAATTTCTTTAACAATATTGGATTTGTTTCTTGAATAACTACGAAATATCAAAGTAAGTATCAATATAGACTCAAGTAAAATAGGTTCTTGCATGCATCTTTGAGAAATTTATTTAATTTGTATAAGAATTAAATATTTAATTCAGAGAAATTACATTATAAATTAGTTTAATTGCTTTTATGAGTTAGCTTTATAAAAATAATAATAATAATGAAAATTATAAGCAAATTACATAAGAGTGTAATTAACTTGTAGTTTATATTTTGTTTTATTTTATCTATAATTACTTCTTTTTCAGTATAACTAACATGTAGCGTAACCAGAGAGGTGCCTGGTTCCCCTATCCTTGTAAGTAAATAAACGAAGAAAAAATCAAATAAGTAAAGAAAAAAGATTTGAATGTGGGAAAAAGCACTTATATACACGTTTATACAGTATCAAAGAGTTTACTCTTCCTCACAGCGCTATTGGTAAAGGAGTGAATATAGGTTTCGCACGTTCTAATTAGAGCCATTCTAATATCGGTTCTAGTTGTGTAACCTTAATTAACTACATATAAATGTATTACTCTAATGAAAACTTAATGTTCTTTATGTGACTCTCAATCCAATTTTTCTTCATGGAATTTGAAAATTACTTATTGATATAAATTAATGCTATGATAATTAATTTTTATTATGGAATTTTAACTAATTTTTAAGAAAAGGTGGCATTTTTTAACGATTATTTAGCGATTTAATATATGTAAAACTACTTCAATCTGAATAAATTTTCTATTAAATTTATTATGAATTAATTAATTAAGAAATAACTAAATTGAGAAAACATTTCTAATCGACTTTCACTAAAGTTAATTATTTTATTCAAAATCTTTTGTTTTTTATTGAAATACAATTTAACATATCAATAATAATAAAAAAACTATTAAATATTTCTTT